AGTGTGACTGTAGTGTTGTGTGACTGTAGTGTGACTGTAGTGTTGTGTGACTGTAGAGTGACTGTAGAGTGTTGTGTGACTGTAGAGTGTTGTGTGACTGTAGTGTTGTGTGGCTGTAGAGTGACTGTAGAGTGTTGTGTGACTGTAGAGTGAATTTAGAGTGTTGTGTGACTGTAAAGTGTTGTGTGACTGTAGAGTGACTGTTTGTGTGACTGTAGAGTGTTGTGTGACTGTAGAGTGTTGTGTGACTGTAGTGTTGTGTGGCTGTAGAGTGACTGTAGAGTGTTGTGTGACTGTAGAGTGAATTTAGAGTGTTGTGTGACTGTAAAGTGTTGTGTGACTGTAGAGTGTTGTGTGACTGTAGAGTGACTGTTTGTGTGACTGTAGAGTGTTGTGTGACTGTAGAGTGTTGTGTGACTGTGGAGTGACTGTAGAGTTTTGTGTGACTGTAGATTGACTAGTGTGTTGTGCGAATGTAGTGTTGTGTGACTGTAGAGTGTTGTGTGACTGTGGAGTGAATATAGAGTGTTGTGTGACTGTAGAGTGTTGTGTGACTGTGGAGTGAATATAGAGTGTTGTGTGACTGTAGAATGTTGTGACTGTAGAGTGACTGTAGTGTGGTGTGACTGTAGAGTGTTGTGTGACTGTAGAGTTACTTTAGAGTGTTGTGTGACTGTAGAGTGTTGTGTGACTGTAGAGTGTTGTGTGACTGTAGAGTGACTGTAGAGTTTTGTGTGACTGTAGAGTGACTAGTGTGTTGTGTGAATGTAGAGTGTTGTGTGACTGTAGAGTGACTGTAGTGTTGTGTGATTGTAGAGTGTTGTGTGACTGTGGAGTGACTGTAGAGTGTTGTGTGACTGTAGAATGTTGTGACTGTAGAGTGACTTTAGAGTGTTTTGTGACTGTAGAGTGACTAGTGTGTTGTGTGACTGTAGAGTGTTGTGTGACTGTAGAGTGATTGCAGTGTTGAGTGACTGTAGAGTGTTGTGTGACTGTAGAGGGTTGTGTGACTGTAGAGTGACTGTAGTGTTGTGTGACTGTAGTGTGTTGTGTGACTGTAGAGTGTTGTGTGACTGTAGAGTGACTGTAGAGTGTTGTGTGACTGTAGAGTGTTGTGTGACTGTAGAGTGATTGCAGTGTTGTGTGACTGTAGAGTGTTGTGTGACTGTAGAGTGACTGTAGAGTGTTGTGTGACTGTAGAGT